CAAGAGCTGACGTAAGCCTTGCAATTTTGGTCATGTTTGGCGACCAAAGATGTTCTTGCAGTCGCAGCTTTGTTGTACGATACACAAATGTTCTCGTCTGCACACTGTTACTCTTTTCACGATAGTCTCTGTGGAGCCAAGAATCTCGTTTCTCGCATAATGCAACCATCCATGACAGTTAACGCTTTGCGTAAAACATACCCGTAGTTCACCACTGAGCTTTGTGCAGCGAAATCACCCTCGAGAAAGATAGCGGAAAAAGGCTTGTACATTTGGGTCACTTGGGTTAGCTACTTTATGCTCTTGTTTAGTTACGGTGGAAAGCTCACTTGAATCTAAAGCGAAAACAATAACTTTTTCTTTACCGTTCTCATTCTTATCGGAATCGTCCAACGGAAGACGGGATAAGCTGTCTGCAATTTGGTTTTCGGAGTTAGTGGAAATGTGATTTGAAAATCATAGTTAATTAAACGCGCATACCAGACGTTTATCCGCAGTGGATTATGGCAATTAGTTCCTGGACTGAGAACAATAGTTATGTTAGTGAGAACGGTTCACAATGTAAACCTCCGACCATGGGTGCCTTTGTTCACAGGCGCAGACGCAGGCGAGGATCTCCTTTACCCAGTGATAATTTTTTAGTGACATATGCAATCACCTTTTCTTATTCGTTCTGCAACTGGGACATGACCGCTGCTAAACCGATGTTTGACGCATCCGTGGAGATGAACCTAGGGCAGTTTTCATCGAAAATGGCCAGCGTTGGCGTAGAGACGAGGCGCCAATTAATTTCTTCAAAGGCAGACTACTGTTAAGAGCCGCAGACCAAGGTGGCGTTTTCTTTTGTCAGAACTAACAAGGGCTCCGCTACGGTAGCAGAATCGGGCAAACAGCGTAAGTTATAGGAGCATAGACAAAGAATATATTTACCCGCAAATGCATTCGTCGGAATGGGGACTTCTGTGCTAACACGAGTACTAGCAGAGCATGATGGGATCTAACTGGATGATAAGATGAACCCAAGGAATTCGACTTCGGTAGCACAGAATGCACACTTTGCAAGATTTAGCCGAACATCTAGGCTGTTCAACCGGTGTACTACAGCTCGTGGCAATAAGTGGTGATCTCTTGAAGGTCCCAGGACGCAAATATCGTTCGTGTAAAGGACTTGTCCCGGTGGATCTGTCAGTGAGTGATGCATGCACCTCTGTCAAGCTAAGGGAACAGTGCTGAGTCCCATTGAGCAAACATACTACGGAAACAGACCGCTCGATGTCGTAAAAGCCGTTAATGTTCTCGATACTAATGGCAAGGTCATGGATAAATAGCCATGTTCAACTCTTAGTTTAAGCAAAATCCTATGGCAGTCGTCTTGAATAGCAAATCATCGACGATGGGAAGAACGATGGCGGTCTGTCTGTTCAAATCCTTCAAAATGCATTTGCTCACAGTAGCGTCTTACTTTAATATCGTGACCAAGAGATGCACCCATTCGGAACAGTTAATTGGCTGTGCCAGATCGTTACGTACCGTCTCCTGTATGGCTTTCTCTAACATCGCACGTTTCGCCAACGGAATAGGAGGTGAATTCAAAATAGAACACAGCTTAGCGTCCAAGTTAAGGCACAGCGATGCGGCAGATGGAAACTGTCCCATCTTTTCAGTAAAGAATATAGGACTTAAACCTTTAAGCACTGATGCATTGAGTGTCTTGATGCGCATGCAATTGATAAATGGCACTTCGTTAAAAGCGACCATTGCATTTTGCCCCAGCAAGGCTCGGCTGTCTTTAGATGACACGTACATAGCTACCGACTGTAGGTTAAATTTCGTCAATAAATGTCCACGGATGCACACCGCGTCATTGGTATAAGGGTCTCACTTGTACGAAGTGGGATACAGTGAAATGTTATTTAGGTAACTGTTATAAAGACTAGCTGGAATGATTGTTATTGCCGATGCAGAATCTAATCCCATCGCAAAAGGCACATTTGTGTGGGGGCCATGGAGCAAAACAGTACGAATAACATGGAAAAGGAGTTTGGACTCCATCAAGAATTATTGTCGATTACCTGGCTGATAAAGTTTTCTAACCGCAGAAATATTCTCCATATCAGACTCAGAATTTGACTCGGTCGATTGTTGTTCAGCTAGCGCTACGCGGCCCGGTTTATCACAGATTTCGCACTCTACTGTACAGGCAGGTTGCTTTTGACAATCTGCTTTGTGTCGAGAACTTCTATATTGAAAGCACAAAACAGTTACATTTTGAGATGGCGTAGAATTCGTGCTCTGAAGTTTACTGATATCAAGTAAGTCTATGGGGCTTACAAACGTGAATGGTCAAGGGCAATTGTTTTGCGCCTAGCAATCGCCATAGCTCTATCCCGGGAAGGTTTCGAGAGAGCTTCCGGAAGTAACTTTTCTTGTACGCGAATATCCAGGATGCCGGATATTAATTGCTGTGTCAGTATGAAACCTTCAACCCTATTCTTTGGAAAGCTGGAGTAATCGCATGCTTTTACTGCATGGATAAAGCGTGGAATAAAGCTTATCAGGGGCTTTGAGCTCTATCTTCTTTAACGGAGGAATTAATAACATTCACCAAAAGCATTAGGTCGAGCGCCCAAAGATCCATTCACTGTATCTAACGCCTCGGTGAGCATGTCCACTTTTTTAGTTCCTGTACATCAAAGTAACGCTAGCAGTTATTTCCTAATTGATGACGCAGTAATTTCAAATTTTGATCCCATTGTATGTAGCAGTTGTCAGTAGTGATTTTAAGTAAGCAGTAAGTAAGGAGTTTAAAAACATCGCTTGACTGCTTGAATGTAGACGAAGTTGCAAATTTCTAGAAGTTAATTTTGTCTCCCTTTATCATGCACCACAAGGATGATGAAGTCGACCTTTTGCGTATAACCTCACGGCTTTACAATAGATTCTGTGTAGTAACATGTGAAAGCTTGTCCCATTCGCAATGCGCGGAAAACGCTAAACATTGCATCAATTGTTTCTTTCTAGACAATAATATCAATCATATTATTCAACAGATAATATGGATAACTAAAATAGAGACTAATCTAAGTTGATTACATAATGGCAGTAAGTCTATCGGATTGCGGTGCGTTTTGGACAATGGCATTCGGGAGTGGAGCACTTGGACAGAAGCTTGCATTGTGGTTATAACGTGCTTTGTTGCGCGGGTATATTCATTTGATAGAAATCAAAAGCTATTTTTACTTAAGCAAATATCACTTGGTGCATATCCTTTGGTATGTGTGATTGGGAATTCTCATTTAGGTTCCAAGAAACTACAGGTCAACAAACATGATTGTTTTGTGGTACTAAACGGATTTATCCCTCTTATCAAATCTCCACAGAACACAAAACGAACCAGATAGAGTCATGCACACAGTTTCGCATTCAATAGGACCTAAATTTGCCCTTATCACAAACACAAATTTGAAGCATTTCAGCGAATATGCTTTCACCAGATACTGCTTAAGAATGAGCATCTGGTCCGCACTGAACAAATGCTTTGGCGAACGGCTCAGATGTCATTTGAAATCAATACTCGAAGCAGTATGACTACAGCAGGAAAGTAAAATTTGCATAGTTCTCAACCACAATCGCCGGATTATACACGAAGCTTTGAGACTGAGAGCTTTAGTGAATTTACCTAAGGCAGACGTTCGCTATATTACTGCCCTGTTCCTATACGCAGTAGGCATTTGTGGTGAATTTAGTTTGAATGTTAACTGCAGCGATAGCCTTTTAACTGGCTCCATACGATGTCTCGAGTTGATAAGCGAGTGTTGGTCCAATGAGGAACCCCGCACCATGTCGGATGCGACATAATTTGTGAATCGCTATTTTACTCATCAGCCGGGAATAACTGTGGTGTATTGAACTTGAATGTCAGTCATGAACATTTAATTTGTTGGTCTGAACCAAACTACGATCCGATCATAAACACGATTTCGCTATTTTAGATCGTCTTGTTCAGGGCCTTCCAAGGAGTTTGCCATTGATTTGGGAATGCTGCTGCATACGTATGTCGAAGCAGCCTAGTTCAGCTTGGTCTTTGCTGATGTGGCAATGTTGTGATCGGTGGATTTGATGAGGTCCATGCAGTTTGCATCTAGTCCCTAACGGCTTTTGTCTCTTTAGTGTTTGTTACGGTGGAGTGGAAAAACATATAAGTCCAGTGGTAATTGTCGCCTATTTCCACGACCAGAATTGATGGTTCTCCGAAAACCTCATATATTTATGCATTCTCTACAACCAAGTTTAAACTGGTTCAGCACTAGCTACATCGCTTGGGACGATATTTATGAGAGAAAATTACGCCAAATCGCAAGAAGCTGTCGTTAACCGGCTGAAGACTATAGCAAATTTCACGTTTCATACGTGGAAGCCCTTGACTTATCCATAACTTTTAATTGTTTAGATGGTATTTGCCAAGATCGCACAGGCACGTCACTTAACTGTTGCTAAAGTTTAACAAGTCACAACGAAATACAAAGCAATTCCACTCATGAACCGCCGAAATTAATTTATCCACGTGGTTCTTGATTTGGCCGCGTTTTTAAGTACTGATATAACAACGTGAACCTCGCATTCGCGGTAAGCTAAACACCGGTCATGTTTACGTGTGATCTGCTGCTAATTGGTAATCATACTCAGAAAAACTACTTAACATCAGGAGATACCGTTTCATATATATCAGTATTAGCCACGATATATATTACGCGTTGCAAATAAACCCTGTAAACAAGCGCGGACAAGTCATCATGACTAATGTTACGGCGTTACGCTAAATTTCGGTGCGATAGATAGCCCAACAGTGCAGTGAATATACATGTCCAAGGATATCATAAACAAACGTACGCAGTGCGATAGTGATTGGTTTTCAGGAAGGAAACATATTTCGTTCAAGCAAATAAATATCAAACGATTCGGTTTCTCAGCGAGGAATTTCAACGGCACACCCAGAAGTAATGTCTGTTCTCACACAAGCCGAAGTTGACTGCCTGCTCACCGAAATGGACCCGTATGTTAACACGGAAGAGGAGAGGGAAGCCCTCGGTTTGAAGGCATTTACCAAGTGAGTCTCGACCGCGCACTTAATGCAGTAGACTTTGAAAATGGCACAATCTAATCACATTCCGTTGTAGATACTTCGCTGAAATACCAGGGTTTGGTGAAAGATTTTGCACAGAGGAAGAGAAAGATCTCAATGTTGTCCTCCACTCGGACGCCGTGAAAAATATTGCACGGCAAGGTATTGAACATATTTTAGAGTTTATAATTGCCGCCCCTGATGTCGAAAAGCTGGACCGATATCTGACAGAGTTTGCAGAAGCACATGCAACTATGTTTTTGAAAAGGAAACTATACTCAGCAAGTTGCTTCCTTTTCATTGTAATCTGCACTGAAGTTACTTACAGTGCACACAATGACGCTATATTTCGCTTTCATTTCAGACCGCTGAACCAATCGTTACTGAGTTTCACAAGTCCATTTTGAAGAGCCCGGAGAACCAAGCTGCCATGGAGAGGCTGCTGAAGCACTTTTTCCAAGTAGTTCAAAGCTGTTTTGATGCACGTCGAAAACTCATGTCTTAATGATGCTGGTTAGTCAATTAATTGCTGGTTTTCAACAAAATATCATAACTTTCTTCATTTATTTCATGTGTTAGTTCCTTGGTGTGGACACGTGGATTTACACAGGGATACCGTGCGAAGCTTAGCAGTTTTCATTGCATGAGTGTAAGCTATCGGTCAAATCGCAATGAAACATAAGCGTGACGCTTTTATACAGCACGTGCTTGGCAATTTCAGTCGCATGGCTAGTATTTGAACCACCTAAAACTTGACAAAACCATCGAAGCTTTGTTGCCCTCACCGTAGGCATGCGTAAACTGGCGTAACTCGAATTTGGAGATTAATGATGATTGTTTCTTGATTTGTTTCTTCAAATGCTCTACGTACTGAACAGGTATACTACGTATGATACGTATGTCGTGGAAACGTCAAGTCGTTTTTTACATGCTAAAGCGGGAGCAGTAAAAGGTAATTTGCCAGCGAGTTCCAATTCTTCAATTCTAACCTGTTGTATTGTGTAGCTGAATGAAACTGAATGTTACTTACGTTTGTATTGTTGTTAGTTTTAGGTAGTTAAAGGCAGACGTGGGTCGGATTAATTAGAATCAGTAAGGCTGTAATTAGTTTGCCACATTTGCACTGCTGGATCCAGCAGCACATAATCAGGGTCGTCTGCCTAACCTTAAGTGGAAGGGGGACATCTTTTGCCGCGCATTTTGTCTCCTTGCTGCGGAGCCAGAAGTGCCTTGAGCTGTCAAGCCTAGATTGCACGTTCGACAGGTGGCTGCGCGTATGTGTCAAACGTATATGGCAGGGGAAGAGGACACTCGACAGCAGATACTTTTTTGATTCTGTGAGGAGTGTATGATCGGCGCTGTCGCATGTTGTATCGCCGTGCTGGCACAGAAGTATGACAAAGGGACAGCGATCGCGCAGCCTGAGACAGCTAGTACAGTGACGCCTGCAAAACCGGTTGCAGATATGCTCGACTCCGTTCCTTAATATTAAGATCATGCTTAGAATAGAGATGCCAAAGCAAGCGTGTAGTTGTGAGCGTACTGCCAGCTACTTCGAGAACGAGCGAACAGCTGAGAACTCAGTGTAAGCCCATCTAGGTTACCCAACATGATCGCATAGACTGCATTCCAGCGAATGCGTCTGTCATATAATAAATAAATAAATAAATAAATAAGCGCTTTATTCATCACCAGTGCGAGGCCTAGATCAATTGGGTGGTCTTATCGACATGTAAAACGTCATCGCATAATATACTTACTTCTACGCGTTTTGTTCAATGGTTCCGATATGGGTTATTGAAGTGATTAGCAGCTTAAAAATAGTAGAGCGGTTACGAAACTGGGAACAATAATAAACGTAGATTTCAAGAAGAGTTCAAGTATAGTAATACAATAATCCGGTAGTAGTAAGTAAAGTAATACGGTCATCCATGGAACTGTCCCCAGGAGTTCTGCTTCCATGCAGGGTATTCCCACGACGTGTTTCACCAGCACTTCCATGCTCCAAATGGCTCGGTGCCCGTGTGGCAAAATGGTACATAGGCCATCAGAGCTTGGTATTAAATTTCTTATTTAAGGTGTTTTATGCATACATTATAAGCAATGAAGCCACAGCCCGTTCGGTCACGCGGAATAATCAAGTGTAGCCCTTATTTGTTTTAAGCCAGCGAATCAGCAGCAATAATATTTGCATGGGTATACTTTTTATTTTGGAAGCTGTAATGCCTCACCTCAAGAGATCAGCCCAGTCATGACCAACAATGGGACAAAGAAGAAGATAAAGTATGAGGAATTAAAAAACATAATAATGAATTCAAACGCTTGCCGATAGGTCACTCACAATTTGATGGAAATGCTTGGCGAGTGACGACGATGTTACAGAGACATCAGCTTGAAAGGCGTAATGCATCTACATACCAGTGAGTCAAAGGAGAAAAAAGAATTATTTAGATGGCTTAATAAAAGTAAGATCGCTTATAAATACATACCCAAGAATTTAACTATTTGTACGGAATCTTATAATATTGAAACGAATAGAGGATATGGCGACTTTCATATGCATCTAGGACCTTTCTCATACAAATTATCTACAGTCATCGGAGGGTGTGGGATATAGCGTTTGGCCGTCAAGGGTGTAGGTTCGGCCGTCTGCACCCTTCCCCAGGCTCATAAATACCGACTTGGCTGGGTTGACCGGGAGAAGAACTTCTGCAGACCATGTGGATAAGCGGTTGAGATCTTGCTGAAGTAGGCCACAGTCATCGGGAGCGTCGATTTCTCTCCAAATCTTCATGTCGTCCGCAAACAAGGCACACGGCGACCGGAGAAGCTGCGGTAGATCGTCGATGTTTATCAGGAACAGAGTGGGCCCCAGCACAGTGCCTTGAGGCACGCCACTTGTAGAGGGGTACCAGTCAGTTAGATGGTCGTCGACCTGTACCCTCCACTTTTGTCCAACAAGGAAGTCGCGGATCCACCGGTGCAGTGAGCCACCGACGCCACACATGCTGAGTTTGTGCAGGAGAACCTCATGACTGACCTTGTCGAACGCTTTACTAAAATCGATGAATATCACCTCGACGGACTTCCCCTTGTTTATTGCCTTCAACCACTCATGCCTCGTCACAAGCAGGTTAGTAATGCATGAGCGACCTTGCATAAAACCGTGCTGTGCGGGCGTCAGGACCTCCTTTGACTGTAGCAACTGCAGCAATCTCTTCTTCACGATTTTCTCAGCAACCATTGCCAAAATATGTGTCAGACAAATTGGCCTGTAATTGTCTACTTTGCTAGGGTCACCGCCTTTCGGAATAGGCTTCACTACCGCACATTTCCAGTCAAACGGCAACAAGCCTTCGGACAGCGACCAGTTGAGAAGGTCAGTCACGACAGGAGAGAGGATGGTTGAAATTGACTTGAGAACCAGTGGGTGAAGCCCATCAGGTCCGGCAGGTTTGGTGCCGTCAAGGTTGGCGAGTAGTTGAGCTACCTCTTCAACGCCGCAATGCCGACTTTTGAGTTCGGTAAAAGCGGTAAACGTCGAACTCGAAACAGACACCTGGTTATTCGCAAATACAGAAGCGAAGTGCGCAGTCAACGCGGACGCACGCTCAGTGCTGGAGGTTAGGGGCTGTCCATCCGTGCCATCCAGCACTGGCATATCACCCGCTGGCTTCAGGCGTCGCTTCAAGTATGCAAAATTCTCTTTGGGGCGGTCTTCGCGGCTAATGCGAGCTGCTCTTCAAAGTGTCGGCGTTTATTCTTTTTTGCACTGTTGCAGATATTCCACTGACATTTATACCCTTCGTAATCATTAGCAGAGCCAGAGAGAAGGAATTTGTCCCACAGTCTGCGCCGCCTCCGAGCCAGGTTTCCATACTCCTTATCAAACCAATGAGGCTCAATCGGTCCAACCTTTCGACATTTCAATGGCACAAATTAGGAACACAATGATGTCAATCTCTCTTTTATAAATATCCAACAATCTTCCACAGATGCAGTTTGTGACAGAGACCAATCCAGTTGGCTCGCGGCTCGAGCAAGACCATCGAAGTCCGTTTTCCAGTAGTTGGGAGCCGGTTGCAGCGGATGTGAATACGGCAAAGATAATTCCATATCAGCTATCAGTACTGAGTGGTCGCTCGTAGCCAGGGGCTCCAGGATCCTAACGTCACGCACTCGTTGTTCGTAGCTCGTTAACATCAGGTCGAGACAGGACGAGGTTGAACGTGTTGATATGCGTGTTGGCTGGCATATATGTTGCGATGCACCAGTTTCAAGTACCAAGTCCCCGAAATTTGCTTCAACCTCACTATGTCCGGACATCAAATGCACATCAGGCCATCGTATCCGAGGACAGTTAAAATCGCCCATAAGCAGAAAGTGTGGACGACTCATGTGGGTTCGAAGAATGGGCAGCCAATCCAAACAACGACTCAGGGGACTGCGATAAACTGCGCCCACAAGCAGTTCTCCGCGCCTGAGGCTGATGGAGCACCACAGTAGCTCACACAGGCCATCGTCAATTCGATAGGTGCTCACAAGTCTCACACGCCGGGAAAGCCGGATGTAAAGTAAGACACCACGGTGGGCATTCTTTAGTCTATCGCATCGGAAACACGAGTAACCGTTGAGTTCAAGTTCTTGGGTGTATAACTCTGCATGCAGCCATGTCTCTGCGAGTCCCACTACGTCTGGCCGCTCAGACGCAAGGAAACAACAAAGCTCATCGTGCTTATTCATAAATCTGCAAAAGTTTGGCTAGGCTACTCGCAGGCCGCAGTAGGAGCCACCGGGCGTGCTTGAAGTGTGAGCAGTTGGTTTATCCTTATTCGCGGATGGTTGGAAACCACCCGAAAATTTACGATACGAAGATTTGTTTCCCCCTCACCAGTGCGTCTTTTCAACTCAATGATGGCAGACTTGAGCCACTCCCTTCTACTGGGTCCAGGTCGGGACGAACATGGATCTTCAAACCTTTCAGCCTACTTAGGCGAGACATGATCAGTCTTGGACTGGCTTCGTCTACAAAAGTGATTCTCATGAGCCGATTTTGTTGATCACCTTGCTTTCCAAGACGGGTAATCTGCCTCACTTTTACCGAGTCCTCACCAGCGTCGAGGTGTCTATCAATTAGACCCTGTAAAAACTTGACATCGTGATCGTAGCGCACTTGGGGTGATGGATAACTGGACTCCGGTGCGTGAAAGATCACGAGATTATAACGCCTCTGCTCGGACGAGGTTGGCCTTGCAGGGCGAAGTATACTACCAGCCTCAAGTGGTTTGGCTAACTGTTGACTTACAGAACGTAAAC